GATCTTATAATTTTTATTATGTTTATAATAATTCTTTTTTGAATTTTAATTACATTCGATAATATCAATATAAATAAATCTAACGAGATAAATTTTTAATCTTATATTAATAAAAAATTATTAAAATTATATATCAAAATTAAAAATAATTATTATTTTAAAAAATTATATAAACTATATTTAAGAGATAAGTAATCAAAATAAATATCTTAAAATATAAAAATTAATATAGATCTAATAAATAAGATAAAGAATAAAAATATAATTTAACTATTTTTATAAATCTCTTTTTTTCTTAAGTATTGCATTTGGAGATACTATAAAACATTAAATAATAAATATGGACTTTTTTCTTAACAAACTTTTAAACTTTGATTTGTTATGTTATAACTTAAAACTTATATGATATATTTTATTGTTAAACCAATTTTCTTTTTATATAAAGAAATAATAGAACAAAAAAACGTAGATCATTTAGAATACTACACCACATCAAACTGTATGCACTTGTATTAATTGTTTGAATTTTTAAACATAGTTAGCAGGGGTTAAGTCAAATGTTTGAATTATGTGTAAGTTGTTATGAACTTACATATATAAAATTTAATTTCTTTGTTATAATAAATTTTTTTATAAAAAATAAACTCTGTTTAAATATTTTATCATCTAAATTATACTTTACATTTATAATAAGTAAATTACATTTTGATACAAAATTAGTTTTAACTGTCCTTGGTTTCTTTTTAAAAAAAAATACTAAATAAATAATCAATTTATCTCCTATATTAAAACATGGAGATTAGTCTAACTGGGAGAGATTTAAAATAACATACACAATATCTTAAATTCAAAATTTGATATCATAATTATGATTCTTATATGGATTAAAAAATTATCTCTTACATTCAAAGATTGGGATATTATTATATATAACATAATTTGTTATATTTTTTCATTTATTTATTATCATATCGAATTTTAATTTTATCATTTTTTATCTATAATTTTTCAAAATATTTTTATTTCATTAAGTCTTACTTCAATAATATATGTATTGTATTTTGCCACATAATCTATTATATTTCTTCATCTATTTTCTATTGAATTTTAAAATTTATTCATCACTTAACTCAGTAATTTCATTATTATCAAGGTAATTTAGTGATTAACAAAAAATAAAAACAATCATTAAATCAAAACAACTAACACTACATTATATTTTTTAATTACGTATTAATGTTTATTGTACGTATTAAGTAACTTTTTTTTAGAGGAACGTATTAAGTAACTTAAATAATAAGTATTGATGACTTTTCCATGACTACTATTTTATGTGTCTAATTAATTTTTTTATCGGTTATGTGTAATTAATTTAGTATTAATTTCAAATTGATTTTTAAATTAAAAATATATAAAGAATATTTATAAATTCTTTTATCAAATAAAAATCTTTAAAAATATTCTTAAACGGAATAGTAGTTTGAGTTTAATATATAAGAATTAGTTAAAATAGTTATATTTTTTTATTAATTAAATAATTCAAATACAGAACCTTAATGAGCTTTTAATGGATACAATTTTCTTTAAAAAGAAGTTGGTATTAATTTTATTATAGTTTCTAAATTCAAATATTTGTTGTAAAAAATATTCAAATATTTATTATTTTTACATTTATAAAAGAAAGAAAAAAATCATTCTTATTACTTGTTTTCAATATATCCTTCCACATGGAATACTACCATGGTCTTCTGAAGAAAAATTCAAAGGCTCTTTTAATCAACAAACTATTTTGTTTCTTTATGAAAACACACGGTTTAGCACTTCTAATCTCAATTTTGTTTTATTAAATTTAAAAAACTTTAAGTTTGTTTGATTTTCTAAAATTATAGCACAAAATAGAATAAATATAATTATTTCGCATTTATTTATTAAATAGTTATGGAATGAAATAAAAATAATGGAAAAAGATAAAATAATAAACTTATTTTGTGTTATTCAATAAATTATAAAATAAATTTTTATCCTAAAAAAATACCCACCATTATCATTGTTGTATTAATATTATTTTAATTCTTATGATTATTGTTTAACTCAAGTACCTAATCATTATTGCTGCTCACTACTACTATTATCACAGCTTATCACTATTATCCATTTTTTTTATTTGTTATTATTATTATTATTATCATTTTCATTGTAATTTTTGTTATTGACATTTTCATTAAGATAATAATAATAATTCAATCTATTAATTAATGTTATAATTTTAAAATTATATTTTTGTGTTATCCAATTTTAATAAAAAAATATATAAAATAAAAGTATCCAGTAATTTAAGTATTTGTTTTTTTCTTTTCTTTGTCACGTATTTTAGTGTGTGTCAATCAGACTCTTAAGCTGCATGGTCCTATAAGTTTGTAAATAAAATAGTTAATTATCATTTGAAATGTGTTAAAAAAATATAAATATTAATAAAAGGAAGCTAAATTTATGTGATAAACATGTATTAAAACAGTGGAATGTGATTTTTTTTTTAATTTGACAATGATAAAGTTAATTTAATCGAAGTTTATAACACGTGTGATTTCTCATATATGACTTGATTGATGATTATATTTGATTTTTTTTTTTTGTGTATTTACCTATAGTCTTCATTACACTTTTTGAATGTTGATAATCAATTGTTATTAAAGATGCAATCTAATTAAGTTAAGTTTAACTTATTTTTAGGATTAAACTTAATTAAATATAATTAGATTGGATTAAGTTTGTATATTTTTCAATCAATCCTATCCTAATGTATTCAGAATAAATTGAAAAATCAGGTTGATCAATTAAAATAATAATATATGCTATTTTTTTTTAAAAAAAAGATACATAATTATTTAAATTGGAATATATGTCTCAAACATTAATAACAAGTACAAATGATATGTGACATGATAAACATCCCACAAAATTAAGTTTAATAACTAAGTTGTACTTTTTTTAAAATTTATTTACAATTTCATAATTTTCATTCTCTAAATCTTTTTTATTCTCTAATAAATCATCACTTACTCTATTATTTTAATTTTATTTTTAAAATAGTAAATCAGATAGTCTCTCTTTTTCATTAATAATTAATAACAATTATAAATGATATATGACACGATCAACATCCCACAAAACTATAACTAAGTTGTAGCTTTTTTAAAAAACTTTTTCATAAGTTTAATTCTCTAAATCTTTCTTTCTGTCCAATAAATCCCTTATTCTATTATTTTAATTTTATTTTAAAAATAATAAAGCACATAGTGTATTTTTTATATATATAAATAATTAGTAATTTACAAAATTAATTTAATTGAAAGACAAACCCAATCCTTGAAGAAGTCATCCAAGACCAATGATTAATTAATTAATTTAATTTAATTTAATTAAGGTGCGGATAATTTGTGGATACCCACTGTAGTGAGTTACACGTGGCATACGCTATCCATTCAAATATTCAATTCAACGACTTTTCCGGAAGATCTGAATCTACTAGCCTCCATCCACCTTTTTCACCGATCGCATCACAACCATCGAACGGCGCAAAACCTTAGAAGGTTATTGAACCGTTGCACCCTACCGCACCAGAAAACTCTCCATCTCCCTTAATCCTGCACACACCGCCACTGCCGCTGTGACCACAATGGCGGGGGGGGCCG